CACCAAGATTGTGCAGCTTGTCTCTTTTTTGCTCCGACTTCAGATTAACAAAGCGAACTGCGCTGATTACTGTATACCAGAGGTGCCCAAAGTGGGGCCCATGGGCCAATTTTGGCCCACCAAACCATTTGATTTGGCCCACCAGCAGTTGTCCTGTTTCCTAGATTGTAATTATGCTGCAGGGAATTTTCTGAAAACTGCATTTACACTCAAACATGATTTTTTTCAGCTGATCAAAAGTTTAAGACCATAGTCTTTAAAAGCCAAAAGCTGTGCAAAAATCTGGATTCCATGTCATTTTCTGTCAAGTCTTTACACTGTCAAGACCTCCTGATGGCAAAAGTAAGAAAAGCTTACTGACTTTGAACGTGGTAGGATTGTTGAGCTGCATAAGCAAGGCCTCTCACAARGTGCCATCGCTGCTGAAGTTAGACGCAGTAAGACAGTCATTTTACATTTTTTAAACGATCCTGAGGGTTATGTAACAAAAATGTCAACTGGTAGACCCAAAAAAATTTCACCAGCTCTGAGCCGCAGGATCCAATTGGCTGTCCGTCAAGAAACGGGACGATCCTGTACCCAAATTAAGGCCATTACTGGTGCTGACTGCAGCCCAATAACCATCAGATGGCATCTGCGAGAGAAGGGCTTCAGAAACAAAAAAAGTCTTCAAAGGCCACGTCTTCTTCAACACCACAAAATTGCCCGTTTGGACTTTGCAAGGGTGCACCAAACGTGGGACATTGAAAGGTGGAAGAAAGTTGTCTTCTCTGATGAGAAAAAATTTAACCTTGATGGTCCTGATGGCTTCCAACGTTACTGGCATGACAAGGAGATCCCACCTGAGATATTTTCTACACGGCACAGTGGTGGGGGTGCCATCATGATTCGGGGTGTGTTTTCCTTCAATGGAACAATGGAGCTTCTGGTTATGCAGGGGCGTCAAACAGCAGCTGGCTATATGGAGATGTTGCAGCGGGCATCCCTCATGACTGAGGGCCCTCGTCTGTGTGGTAGTGATTGGGTTTTTCAACAGGACAATGCTGCAGTTCACAATGCCCGCCTGACAAAGGAGTTCTTCCAAGAGAATAACATCACTCTTTTGGACCATCCTGCATGTTCCCCGGATCTAAACCCAACTGAGAACATTTGGGGATGGATGGKAAGGGAAGTTTACAAAAATGGACATCAGTTCCAGACAGTGGATGCCCTTTGTGAAGCCATCTTCAACACTTGGAGCAACGTTCTCACTAGCCTCCTGGAAACACTGGCATCAAGCATGCCTAAACGATTGTTTGAAGTCATCAACAAGAATGGTGGAGCTACTCATTACTGAGTCTTTTTTGACACTTTTATTTCTGTTTTGGGGGTTTTAGGGTTTTTTTGAGCTATGTTCTTAAACTTTTGATCAGCTGAAAAAAAAACATGTTTGAGTGTAAATGCAGTTTTCAGAAAATTCCCTGCTCAAAAGTTCTTGTCTCTTGCACTGATTTCTTCTTTTAACATTGTGAAGCTCTACTTAGAACCTTCTTAAGATCAATAGTGCAAAATGTAAATTCTTGCACTTTTTTGACTGGTCTTATGATTTTGATCAGGAATGGTTATTCCATACAGTTCTGCCGCTGCCCTCCCATCCCTGGCCGGGTCAGAATTACAGTCATTCACGATCAGGTGAAAGCTCTGGCACTGCGCACAGAAATAGACTTCTTGCTGGCCAAGGGTGCCATTGTGCCGGTCAACCCCTTACTGGATGTGGGGGCGGGGGGGGGTACTCAAAGTATTTTTTTGCACCGAAGAAGACTGGTGGCTTACGCCCAGTCTTAGACCTGAGGAGTCTGAATGGGTTTTTAAAGGAGATCCCGTTTCACATGCTGAGTGTCAAGGATGTACTTCATGTGGTCTCTCCAGGCGACTGGTTCACCTTGGTCGACTTGAAGGATGCTTATTTCCATGTGCCGATTGCGCCCCGTCACAGGAGGTTTCTCCGTTTTGCATTTCAGGAGAAGCATTTTCAAATCAGGGTTCTCCAGTTCGGCCTCTCCCTGTCTCCCCGTGTATTCACCTGGTGCATGGCTGCAATCTTGCATCCTCTGCAGGTCAGAGGATTGAGGATTCTGCCTTATTTGTATGACTGGCTAATCTGTGCACCAACAAAAGATCAGGCCACGGCAGACACACTAAAGGTGCTCAGTCATATAGACCGATTGGGTCTTCGCATGAACTGGGAAAAAAGCAACCTTGTTCCATCTCAGGAGGTCACTTTTCTCGGCATCATGTTGAACTCCCTCACGATGACCTCTTGCCCATCGCCACAGCATGTCAGTGGGATTCTGCAAACACTACCTACCTTCCTGCCTGGCCATTCTCCCCCTCTCGTTGCTTATCTCTTCCTGTTGGGCAGGTTAACTGCTGCATCTACAGTAGTTCCCCTAGGTCTGTTGTCACTGCACCCCCTACAGATGTGGATAAACAGTCTGTGGCTGGATCCGACTTGTTTAGCACACCGGCGCAGGAGGTTGCGGGTGTCCCCTCAATGCCTTCTGTCAGTGGCTCAATGGCGGGATGCAGCATTCATGACACAAGGGGTTCCAATAGGCTCTCTACCGTCTCACAGAGAGGTCGTGTTTACAGATGCATCCCCCACAGGATGGGGGGCATCTTGGCAGACCATCGAGGGGACATTGTCTCAGAGGCAAAGGGGCAGGTATATCAATGCTTTGGAGTTGGAAGCTGTGCAGCTCACACTGAAGCACTTCATCCCAGGCCTACATGACAAGCATGTCCTTGTACGATTGGAAAATACCTCGGTTGTTTTTTATGTCAATCATCAGGGAGGGACAAGGTCGCTGATGCTGTTTCAGCTGACCCGGAGACTTTTACTCTGGGCAACCCCATGCTTTGCCATCCTCTGGGCAGCCCGCATTCCAGTTGTGCAGAATGGGCTGGCCAACTTTCTATCCCGAGAGCGCCCACCTCCAGGGGAGTGGAGGCTCCATCCGGAAGTAGTGGAGGACAACTGGCAGAGGTATGGCAGGGCAGCTGTCAACCTGTTCACCTCTCAGGAGACAATACATTGCCCACTCTGGCTCTCTCTAGCAGACAGGACCAGCCCCCTGGGTCAGGATGCACTGGCACACAATTGGCCCAAAGCACTCCTTTATGCTTTTTCACCACTTCCTCTGATAGCCCCAACACTCCTGAGGGTCCTTCAGGAGGGACATTGGGTTCTCCTAGTTGCACCCTTCTGGCCCCGGAGGACCTGGTTTCCACTGCTGCACAGTCTCTGTTGCAGCTCTCCAATGCCTCTCCCCCCAGGAAGGACCTCCTGTCACAGCTGGGAGGTCGTCTCATGCACCCCAATCCTCGTTACCTTCGACTCTGGGTTTGGCCACTACAGGGCCCGGTACTACCTTTTCGGGCTATGATGGGGAGGTTAGATATACCATAAGTAATGCGAGAGCACCTTCTACTCGGCTTACGTATGCTCACAAGTGGAAGATTTTTAGCAGATGGTGTCAAACTAGACATGAGGATCTGCTTTCGAAGGGTCAGTCTTCATCTACCTCGAAAGTTTACATTGCTGCTATTTCTTGCTGGCATGGGTTGGTTGGGGGAAATACTATAGGCTGTAACAAAGATGTGTCCTTGTTTCTGAGGGGCGAAAGATGTTTGCATCCCCCCACGTGCCTTTTCGTGCCTGTGTGGGACCTCGCACTAGTCCTCAATACCCTGTGATCCGCTCCATTTGAGCCTTTGTTGGAGATAGGCCTTGACTGTTTATCGAAGAATACTGTGTTCCTCCTGGCTATGGCTTCAGCCAAACATGAAGGTGAGCTTCATGCTTTGTCAGTTCACAAATCCTGCTGCAGGTGGAATCCAGGTGGTTCTGGTGTCACGCTCTGGCCTAACGCAACATTCCTCTCCAAATTGGCCTCGCCTGCGAGCCACTCTCTATCTCTCCAGCTTGCTCGTTTTGAAACAGGTAGCGCTAGTGCGCCTCTTTGCCCTGTTCGAGCCCTGGAAGTGTACGTCAGACGGACAGCTTCTCTGCGACAGTCTGAAAGTTTATTTATGTGCTATGCCGGACCTCGCAAGGGGCAGGCCCTTTCGAAACAGTGTCTTGCATGCTAGATTGTTGATGTGGTGGAACAGGCATAGACTCTACAAGGCCGCCAACCGCCTGTGGGGGTGCGGTGCCATTCATCCAGGAGCATTAGTGTCTCATGGGCTGCTATGACTGGGGTCACTTTGGAGGCTATTTGTGCAGCAGCTTCCTGGTCATCCCCAAATGCATTTGCTAGGTTCTACGGGATGAACCTGGCTGTCCTGCACCTGTTGGTGAGGGTCCTGTTGCAGCACTCCTCTTCATCTCAGTGAGGTGGGCATCCTTTTTGCTTGATTTGTCTTTTTTGTGATTCCTCAGGACTCTGTTGGTAATCTTCAGGAATCTGGGATTCATAGAACTGTAGTTAAATGTGTAACTTTCATTTCATAATTCTGAGTAAGACAGTTGCACAATGTAAGTTTTCTTGAATTAAGGAAAATTTCCAGGCTAACATGATGAATATAAAATTTTGTTCTTATCAAAAATATTCATTTTTATCAAGGCATAGTTCTTACTACAACATACATTTTTATAGCATTTTCCCTAATGTCTAAACAAACTAACATTCTTAACAATGAACTTTCTCAGAAATTCCTATGAATGTGTGAACTACAGTAGGTTCACTAAGGTTTAGAACCTAAATGCGGGCAGACACAAGGTACTAAGTAAACTCCTGTACCCCTTGTTCCTTCAACCTCTCCCTCGAAATCTCCTGATGCGTGCTATAGACTTTACTCCTTAAATTGTCATGCTCAATTATCTCCTCTTCCTGGCAACCATCCTACCTCACTGTTACGTGCTTCCCTATAATGTGCTATTAAGTGGGCATTGTCCGTCCGTTTTCTTCCACTTATCTGGGGTCGGGTCACGGGGGCAGCAGCCTAAGCAGAGAGACTTAGACTTCCCTCTCCCCAGCCACTTGAGCCAGCTTCTCTGGGGGAATCCCAAGGCATTCCACAGCCAGCCAAGAAACATAGTCCCTCCAATGTATCCTAGGTCTTTCTCTGGACCTCCTCCCAGTGAGACGTGCCTGGAACACCTCACCAGGAAGGTGTCCAGGAGGCACCCTAAGGCCGGCGTCACACTACAAGCAATCATATTCATCCTGTGATGGTGCTTTTATAGCAATGTGTGTAGTCAATAGCCCCGATTACATTAGGAAAACCGGTTGTCACTGCAAATTGCGCTTTAATGTTGGCCTGTTCAGCTGCATTGTTTGGGAATGTTATGTACCTGGATGACATACAGATAAGTTCATCCCACACAGCTGGCATGGCTCGGCTCAGTGTGGTCTGGCACAGTCCTGATTGGTCTGCCGACTCCCTCTGAAATGCCCCTGTTGCAAGAAATCCCAGTGTGGTCAGCAGCTGCACATGTACAGGCAGTGTACGGCTCCTCGCTGTGTGGTGCTTCAAAACCGGTCGTAGCTCTAAGCATAGTTGCAGAAATACTGCCCTTGGTAGCTGAAAATGACTGATGAGCCAGTCATCATCATGAGACAGAAAATCTTCTCGGTCGCTAAAAACACGCTCTCTGTGTATAGCGCAATTTGCTATATCCACCAATAAGGCTAAAGTCATTGTTGTCAATATTTTTGCCACTACTTTGCACATGCTTTTATATCCACTCATCTAATTGCGTCCATGTGGATGTAATAATTGTTAATTATGTGGATGTAATAATTGTTAATCATGTGTGTCTGGTGTGAACAATAATCATTTACACATCATGAACACTTTCTCAGAATCACCTCTAAGTGTTGCCAATGGAACCAAACCACATAAATGTGTGTATGCCAGCCCGGGGGTTGGTGTGGGGCTGCACACATTTCCACGTTCACTTCAGTTTTGATACATATGGTTTTTTGCGTGGAAAATGGCGTACACAAGGTTTTTGTGCATACACACCGTTGATACAGGAGGCCCCTCGTGCTCACTGGACAGCCTCATCGTCATCGTCGTTGTCATCGTCGTTGTCATCCTCGTTGTCATCCTCGTTGTCTTTGTCCGTGAGTCAGCTGTTGTCTAGATTCAATTTTAAATACTTGGAGAACTTTTGTGATGATCTGATGGGGCAAATATTAAGTCAATGAAGATGTAAAAAAGTAACTGTCTTATAGAGGTAGTAAATTCAATTCACTTTATTAACTCAAAGTATTTTTATTTATTTATTTATTTATTTATTTATTTATTTATTTGTTTATTTATTCATTCATTCATTCATTCATTCATTCATTCATTCATTCATTCATTCATTCATTCATTCATTTTTGTTCCGCTCTCGGAAGAGTAAGACACTTTTCCCCTGCTCTACTGCCCTTCCTTATCTTCCCTGCTTCGCTGCTTGGAACCTTCTCTACATTTTTCATCCAAAACCAGAAATTATGGTAATTTTTCTGGATTTGGTTAGCTGGTCTCTCAATAAAACTTTTGGAACAAAGTTTTTTCATCTTCCATGGGAGGACATATCAAAGGTGGGAACTCTGTTCTTCTCTGTTCTGGTTATATATCTGGACTCCGATCATTGGATTCTACAGATTGGCTCGGTGGTCTCCTGGTGTTCTACAAAACAGTGTTGTGTCTTTCCATCTCCTGGCTGCCTGACAAATTTGATGGATGGCTGTATACTATTCGGGACTCAGACATTTGCCTTGAGCGAGCTTGACTCGGTCTGCAAGCGGTTCTATTGAGGGTTGCGGGTTGGTTGTGGTCCCTGGACTTTGCTGGCCAGATGGAATTGATCTTTGAGAAGCTGATGGATCAGCTCAGCAGAATTTGTCCACATTTTATTTGTCTGATTGGATTTGCCACCTTTGAGATGCACCAGCAGAAACACTAAAGCAGATGGAAAATAGTTATCGGCTGCCTGTCTCTTTCTCTTCCCAAAACAACTGATTACAGGATCTGGCTCTCCCTGACAATGACCTTGATCTGTTGACTAAACTCTTCCTGGTTGGATATGTCGACACATCTCAACCCCACACCTCCCCCTCTCCTCTCTCGCTCGTTTGATTCTGGTCTCCTGAGCAGGCTGGGGGCTCACAGAATGAACAGTACCATCAATATTCTGAACTTTGGCTGCGCTTGTTTAGGGGACTGGATTTGCCGGCCCACCCCTAAACTCACTTACTCCTCTGGCTAATAAATCTGCCCTATGCAGAGGTTTTTTGTCATTAATACCATAGTGTGCCACTGTGTTGATATAATAAGATATTTTAGTTTTTTCCTCATCTTCCCTTGTGTGGTTTTTCTGGGTTTTTTTTTTCTGTTTAAGATGGCGCCACCGTAGGCAGCCTGTTACTGCAGCTCCCCTGTCTTGAGTTGCTGTGGGATCAATAAAGTTCTATCTTATCTTATCTTATCTTATCTTATCTTATCTTATCTTATCTTATCTTATCTTATCTTAGGTAATGCACTAAAATGGTCCAGTTCCTGTAAGTCGTTTGATTCAGTCAAGCTGCAAACCCATACCTCACCCAATCCACTAAACAACAAGAAAAAACAGTCCATACTAATAAT